TCTCAGTTTTTTTTTTTAGTCTTGAACAGGTTTGATAATCTTGTTGATCTTTTTGAAGAATCAACTTTTGTTGATTCTCTGTTTTTTTCCTACTCTGTGTTTCATTCATCTCTACTGTAATTCTTATTTTGTTCCATATGCTAACTTCAGGTTTAGTTTACTCTTCTTTTTCTAGATCAATAAAGTATTAATAGGTTATTGATTTGAGGCCCTTCTTTCTAAATCCATGCATTCTCTGAGCACTGCTTTTTCTATATGCTATAAATTTTAGTATGTTGTATTTCCATTTTCATTCATCTCAAAGTATTTTCTAATTTCTGTTGTAATTTTTTTAACCCATTGGTTAAGAATGTGTTGTCTAATTTCCATATATTTGTGAATTTTCTAGTTTTGCTTCTGTTACTGATTTCTAGTTTTATTCTGTTATGGTCAGAGATGATACTTCGTATGATTTCAAGCTTTTAAAATTTACCAAGGCTTATTTTATGACCTAATATCTGTTATATCCTGGAGAACATTCCATGTGTACTTGAGAATAATGTTCAGCCTGCTGTTGTTGGGTGAGCTTTTCTGCAGATGTCTGTTAGGTGTAGTTGTGTCTGTGGTTTCTGATATCTCTGTTCCTTTAGCTTGTGTTCAGTTAGTGTGTTGATAGAGACTTTCTTGAGCACCAGGAACCATTAAGAAAAGGAAAAAGAGGAGGAGAAGAGGAAGATGAAGAGAAGAAGAAAGAAGAAAAGAAAAGGCAGAAGGAAGAAGAAGAAAAGAAAAAGAAGGAGGAGGAGGAAAAGAGGAGAAGGAGAAGGAGAAAGAGAAGGGGAGAAGAAGGAGAAAAAAATACACAAGCCTCTCTCAGTGTTTTTGTAGACTGACACTATGTTGGGGCACTTCTTCACTCTTTGGGTAGTCTATTTACAAATCTGTCTTGGTCTTTATTTCCTGCTTGTGCTGACACATCACCAAGTTTCCTTTTTCTCGATTCAGTTTTATTTTCTTGCTATAAACTTTTAAGATTTTCCAGAGTCCTGAAAAACTTGATTCTGACACATTTCTTTCTTTCTTTTTTTGCTAGATTTTTAAATACTTCTATGGAGGGGTGGGACTGTGGAGCTCTCTACACAACCATTTTCTCTGACATCACCTGCAAACTTTCATTCTCAGTTTAGAAACCCAGGAGTGAGAGTAAACTGGAAATAGATTGACTCTGCAGGGACTGAAGCACAACTTTGCATCACCTAATTCTTGAAACTGAATTGAGATCATCCTAGGTAGCTAGTTCTCCTAGCTACCTGCCAACAGCAAATTTAAATTCTCTCTGGAGGAAAATAGGCCTGAAATTATTTCAGCAGTTTTACATATACAATGTCATGAACTCAATATAAATATAACCAGACCCAACAGGATACAAGATATGTGAAAGAAAATGGAGGCATGTAACAAATAATGAAATTGGACTTGTAGAGTATTTAGATAATGACATTTAGATTAGACTCAGAGTTTAAGATAAATATGTTTAATATATGCAAGGAAGTAAAACATACATCAATCCAAGAGCTATAAGAGAAAGATTGATAGTTTTTACTCTATAAATATAAAAATTATATTGTTCAGGGAAAATAAAATTCAACAGAATATGCAGTATATTTCCAACTGTAATAAAGTCAAGTTATATTTTTATTTGAAAAAATTGATATAGAATTGATCATATTAATCCTAGTTTAAGGCATATAATTCAGTAGTTTTAGTAATTTAAAAATGTTATACAACTATCACCATATTTTTCAGAACTTTTTTTTAATTGGTGGTGCTGGGGGGTCAAATGCAGGATCTTGTGCATGGTAAGCAACTACTCTACTCCCAAAATACTTTTGTCACCCCAAAATAAAACTCTGTGCCCCTTAGCACTCACTCCCTTCTCCCTTTTCCCCAGCCCCTCACAACCACTAATTTACTTTATGTATCTACAGATTTATCTAATGCAGATGTTTCATGTAAATAGAATTGTACAATTTCTGTGGACTTTGGTGTTTGGCTTCTTTCACCTAGCAAAATGGTTTTTGGAGTTCATCCATGTTGTTGCATGTAGCAGTACTTCATTACTTTTTTTTAGCCAAATAGTATTACTTTATATGGACATACCACATTTTATTTAAGGGATTATATATTTATACCTACATTTGAAAATTCATGTGCAGTTATAGTCTATTAATTTACAAACTCACAGAATATTTTTGGGAAAGATACTCAAGACATTTTTAACACTAGCTGTTTCTGGGGATAAGGATTAGGGGATAGAGGTTTGGGAAAGAGGGAAAATTACTTTTTACTATTTTATCTTTTTTAATGTTAAATTTTAATTTTAACTAAAAATGTCATTTATTGATTTATAAACTACTTTTTAAAAATGAAATATCTTTTAAAATTAGTTTTGTCCTCCTCTTATACTTTTAAACAGATGTGAATAATTTAAGTGGTTATTTAATCTGTACATATTTATAAATGTAGAAACCAATATCTGAATTAACTATTTAGACTATTTAACATTTCAGTTGTAAACACAATTGTAATACAATTGAGAGATAGCCATATAGGTAAGTACTACATTAACAAAGAGATTTTAGCCAACCTAAAGAGGATCCAAAAAACCTATTTTAATAATAAGAATTTTCTGTTGCAAGATATTATCGGTGATTATTCACTAATTTAATTTTGAAAAACAAAGCAACCTTTGCAAACAGAAATTTTTCTAATGAGTATTACAAGTGGGCCTGAAAAGGTACAATGACAAGTTAAGGTAACACTGAAGCCAGCGTGGGAATCAATAGATTAAATGTGCAAACTGAAATAAGCTACTAAATAATTTCCATTACTGGAAATTATACTCAGGGCCTTTGCACCTTTTAAAGATTTATCTTGAGACAAGAGCTCTAAGTCTATAAGTTACCTAGGCCAGGGGTCGCATTTGTGATCTTCCTGCCTCAGCTTCCCACAGTGCTGGGATTACAGGTGCGCACTACCGTGCCCAGCATAAAAGTGTTTTGCTCATTCCTTGGAAATCTGGCCAAAGTAAAGTTCACATTCAAGTTTAGATTCAAGTTATGGATTGAATAGGTTTAGAATGTGTTTGTGGAGAAAAGACTTTGCAATCCATTAGGTCTTGGACAGGTAGGAAATATGGGTCTTTCCTCACCAATCAATACCGGGAAGCCCTTCTGTTTCTTTCTAATTCTCACATTGCTACAAATCCTGTTTCCTATCTCTTTAAAAAGATTATTGAATTATGAAAATTCTTAAAACTTAAATAATATATTTTGAGGTCTTAGAAAATAGTTTTAATAGCTCTGAAAATGGAAATTTCAAGACATTATGAGACACTGTTGGTCCAAAGTATTTCACCTGCCCTCAGTCTGATACCTAGAGCAGTATCTGAATGTTATGTAAATATGATCTGCTCTCTCCACGTTCAGTAATTCAGTATTGTTTTAAATAATCTTTGGGACGATAAAAATACAATTTGAGTCATATATTTAGAATTTTCTAGTAGTCATATTAAAAAAATACAAAAGAACACCAGTCAAATCAACTTTAAAATACTTTATGTAACTCAATATAAAAATTTCATTTCAGTATATAATCATATCAAATTTACTGAGATATTTCACCTTTTTTCTTCATACTGGGTCTTTAAAATCCAGCATAGATTTTGTACTTACCAAACATCTCAGTTGAGATGAGTTGCATTCCAGGTGCCCAATAGTACCATGTGGCTGGTGGCTGCCATATTGGAGAGCATAGTTCTAAATAGTCCTGAACCTTAAAGTTGTGCTAACATGTGTTAAATTTGTTTGGTAATCTCACTGTTGCTATATTATATTTTAGGAGTATGTATTTGGAATATTTTATATGTTTAAAAGAGGGAGAAAGACACATTATCATTTTTTAACTCCCCGGGAGCGGGGGTGGGGTGGAGAAACAGTAAATCTGTACAAAACAATGATTTCATCAATGCTATAATCGGAAGAGAGGAATAGGATGGTCATAAATAAGAGATGACTTAAGCGTTTTATTTAGGTTTGGGATATGTGTTGTAGTTAGACTTTTATAGAAATATGCTTGCTGTTCTGAGCATTCTCAATACTATATACCAAATATTGGAGCCACATCTGGGAGGCTGGACTCATGAGCTTCTTGGGATCTTATCTGGCTGCCATATGAGACCTCTGAGCTCAGCAACACCTACTTTCCATTCCAGGTGGCAGGACACCCTAATAAAAACAAAACAACACCTCTCATTCTCTGTCTTCTTTCTTCTTCTTCTTCTTCTTCTTCTTCTTCTTCTTCTTCTTCTTCTTCTTCTTCTTCTTCTTCTTCTTCTTCTTCTCCTTCTCCTTCT